CCAGCCGTGGCACATCCACCGGATCGAACGGCACGAGAACCCTGGGCCGGCCGCGCACTCAGCCGCACCATCCCGGACCACCTGGCTCCAAGGCCGCTCCACCCTGCGCGCACCCGGAGGCGGCAGCCCCGGCGGGGGCCGGCGGAGGCACCAGCTGCCCCAGGGACGGTGCAGGCTCCACCTGCCGACCGAGAGCCCCAGCGGGAGAGGGCACGACACCGGGCACCCGCCCCTGGCGTAGGGCTGGCTCCTGCCGCGGGCGCACCGGGGCCTCCACCGGTGACACACTCCTCCGCTCCACGCAGTTCCGAGCAATGTGCCCGAAGCCTCCACATCGCACACACAAAGTCTCGTTGGGGCAGTCCCTCGAAATATGCCCGTCGTCTCCACAGTTGTAGCAGCAGCCGTGCAGGGCCGCGGGTATGCGAGTCCGCGGCGGCCTCGTGGTGGGAAGCGTCGGCGAGATCCACCGCCTGGTGGCCGGACGCAGAGGGGAAACGGGGCTGCGCGGTCGATGACCCGCCCTGGTCTGCCAAGCACGCTCCGCCGGCTTGGAAGAACCGCCAGCAGCCCCTCCGCCAGCAGCCCCTCCCTGGATGATGGGGCCGAGCGCTGTGCCAAGCACCTCGGGGACGGCCATGGCGGACCTGAGGGCCGGCCTAGGAGGGGACGGCGTCGCCTCGGAGGATGAGGAGGACCCCGCCGACAGAGAGACCCGCGAGGCCATAGGGCGAGGCTCCGGACGGATTTGGTGGCCGCCGGCGCCGGAGTGGCCACCGGCGCTCAGAGAGGGGAGGGGAGCGCTCAGAGAGGAGAGGACATGTCGATCTCTTTTTCTTCTTCTTTTCTGCGTACAGCTCGACGCAATTGTAATTCAAGCACAAAACCCGCAGAGTATGGCGGGGTGCCACGTAGTGACACGAAGTACGGTTCATCCAACAAGATGGATGACTAGCTTAACATGAAGACCAAAAGTTATTGTTTAAACTTATCTCACCTATCAATTCATAGGACACTGACATATAGCAATCTATAACTTACATTTTTTTGAGGGATACACTGCTAGTGTTCCTTGATCTGTTGTTGCGATCAAATTCTATTCAAAATACGTTTGTAAGCTACACAAGAAAGTGTGGATCCATAATATTAGCAAACAATAAATCTTTTTTATGCACACGTTCATATTCTTTCAGTAACAAACAATTATAGACACCATGAATAAAGATCAGGTAGTTGTCTAGTTTCAATGTGTGAGAAAAGTTATATGATGTCCAGTTTTAATGTCCTAAATTTACGTTATGTTGAATGCAACGAATCACGAGCTCATACTGTCGTGGGAGGATACATATTTTTCTATTTTACCATCTCTTAATTTTTTTCGTGTGATGGAACGCGAGTGCTTTTGAACCTTTCACATGTGCCACTTGTCTTTACAAAAAAGGAATGAAGACCAATACTTTTTTCTGTACTTATACACCTGAAAGATTTTAACATACACAGTTACTAACTACTTTCACTTTCTGAAGTACTTCTAAGTAGTGATCTAAAAATCTCATATTAGTTTACAGTGAGAGTAACACAATAAATCCTAACTAGTATCAGGTACATACTTCTATAGGGTACCTGTTCACCTTTGCTCTCGCGAGGAAAGGGGTGGCTAGCGTTTCTCGCCTCCTGCAGGCGCGCCGTAGATCTACCTCATCTTTTTGTGACCTTAGGCCATGGAGGCGTGATTCGGCCCTTGCTGGTGGGATAGCTCCTTCTCCGTTTTTAGGTGTCTTTTTTTGTCTCTTTAGGGTTTGTGTCCTGTTCAGTAAAATGAGACAACAACGTCTTTCTGAAGATGAAATAAGGTTCTCTCCGCCTAGCTCTCGTCCTGGCAGTGCGACTAGCGTCGTCGGAGCGCGTGTGGAGGCGTGTCTCCGGCCGATCTTGTGGGATTTGGTGGGCATTTGTCTTCAATAGATCTACTTGGATCCCATCTTCGTTGGTCTACATTCATGGCTCTACAAACCGGATGCTTTTGATCTACACATCTCTTCATCGGCGATGGTTGCTGGTCTAGTGTGCTGGTCCTACGGGGCCATAGCATGACAACTTCCTAACTGTCTATTATAACAAGGTTTGCCTGACTCCTGTATGGGAGAGGCGATGACGGTGGCGCGCCTTCGGCTTGCTTCAGTGCATGTAGTCGTCGCTAGCTGGTCTACCGGCCTAGATGTAATTCTTCTTACTTCTGGTGTGCTTTACACTGCCATAAATATTTATGAATAGATTGAAAGTTTTCCTTGCAAGACAAAGGTACGTACTTCTATACATATGCAGGACGACAATGAGATGTTTCTGCAAAAAAAGTTTAACCATGCACAAAGCCCCCCACCCCCTTTACTAGCCGAATTTGTCTATTTGGAGAATTGGGCATAAAGTTCTTATCATTTTCCATTTATTTATCTAGTCATATGACTATCTCATTTGTGCACAGAGGTGGCTAACCGGCCGGCCAGGACCCGGTTCGACACACATATAGGTGGGCCTAGCATGGCATGACATGCAGAGGCCTATTTACAAGCAGTCCGTGCCGTGCCGGCATTCGGGCTTGGTCTTTCAAGATGGGCATGAGACATTAACTAAACGAGCGGGCCCGGCATGACACATTTTTCGGCTGCCCGCGTGCCTTTTGCCCACCAGGTAAAAAGAATTGGAAAAAAGGACGTGTGCCAGCAACAGGCCAGCTCCTATTGGGCGCTGTAGGCGCCCGTTGGTGAACTGGCGCCTACAGCAACCGGCCATGGGCCGCGGCCCATTAAGAAGATCGCTCCCTTGCTCCTTCTGCTCGCTCGCTCTCTTAAGAAAAACACACCCGCCTCGCTGGTATTTTTCGGGTGTGCTGTGTTGCTGGTTCAGGAAAAAGACCGGCCTCCGGTTTTTTACAATTTTGAATATGTTTGTGAAAAAGTTCATATATTATTTAAAAAGTTCATCGATTATGAACAAAAAATTTCACAAAATCTGAAGAAAGTTCATCAATTTTGAAAATGTTCATCGGATTTGAAAAAAAATCATTGAATTAAAAAAAGTTCATCGAATTGAAAATAGTTCATTGGATTTGGAAAAAGGTTCATCAAATAGAAAAAATTTCATTGGATTTTAAAAAAAGTCCATTGATTTGAGAAAAGTTCATCGGATTAGAAAAAAGTTCATTGAATCGATAAAAGTTCATTGGATTTTGGAAAAAAAGTTCATCGAATTGAAAAAAGTTCATCAGATTGTGGAAAAGTTCATTGTTTTTAAAATAAGTTCAGAAAAATGATAAAAAGTTCATTCATTTTCAAAAAGAAGTTAATCGAGTTTGAAAAAATGTTCATTGAAATTGAAAAAAGTTTATCTAATTAGAAAAGAAATATCTTCTATTTGTAAACATTTCACGCATATAATTAAAAAAGAAAACAGGAAACAAAAAAAGAAAGTGGAAAAATCAAGAAAACATATAGGGCATTTCCTATAGTATAAATAGGTAGAAAGCAGTTTGTGTTCACAAGTCAGTGGTGTGGCGTGGTGGTTCGTGCAGCTGGCTAATAATGGATAGACCGTAGGGTCGATTCCTGGATGGTCATATTTGCCATATGTCTTTTTTTTTTAAAAGTTTCAAAACAAGGGGATATGGTTGTTGGGCCGAGCCCAGCTAGCGCCGCTACAGGCGCCGGTTTGCGGAAACGGTTTGCGAAACAGCTGTAACCAGCGCCAAATAGGAAATGCCCAGCAACAGACCTCTCCTCGGATGACGAGCATGTCAGACGGCGTGCTATAGGCCAGGCATGACTCGTTTAGTACCGTGTAGGATGTCCCATAAAATATGGCACATTTAGCCAACTCTATTTGAACCATATAGTTTATAATAAACCGAAGTGGCAACCGAACCGGTCAAGCTGTCAGCTGAAGTTTTCACTGGTCAGATTGGCAGCTCATTTACGTCAAAAAACAGAAATATTTATGGTCAATTTAAAAAAATTTGTCATCACATCAAATGAATACACATAATATTGAATGAAAATCATTAATAAACCATAAATTTTTGTTAGACGAGTTATTTATTGAGCCTTTGGCATGCCTTCCCGTAACTTTAGGTTTTGATTTCTTGTTGATACACCTTTTTAAAATATTTTTCGATTTATGTACTAAAAGACTGGCATACCTTGAAAAAACCAGGCAAGCTGCCGGTTCCAGTTTTTCTGACCAGATTGTACTGTGTTAAAAAAAATGTCAACTATTCCACACTGCCTGCTCCTCTCTCCTCCTCAGCACCCAGTGACCCAGATTCACCGCAGACCTCCTGGGTGTCATAGCAGGAGCCTCGATCTCTCTCCCCACGGTGCTGGGTGCGAGCTCATGCTGGTCGTCTACACCATGAGCTCGGTCCTCGTGTTCACCATGTGGGTGCTCATTTTGCTGCTGTGTTGTGTCAGACTGTCAGTACTGAGCCTACACGCTTGCACCAGCTGGGCTGCCGAAGCCGTCCCCACCTTCCTCCCCGACCAGCCGCCGCCCTCCTCGCTGGCCTGGGGACAAGTTCTCATCATTGTTGATGTGGATGTATCCCGCAGCTTCTCCAGGCCGCTGCCGCAGCTCCGCACACCACTTGTTCGATGAAATGTATGGAAATTTGAGGTGGAGAAATGGTGTATCCCCCTTTGGTAGCATGGTAGATCTGTCCAGAAATTCCGATATGGATCTGGTGCACAGACGTGGTAGGAAACGGGGTGATGGTCCTTGGGAACGCCCTAACAACTGTATGCATACGCATATAATATAATGTAAGGAAGTAGAAAGATCGGTGTGAAATACTGAAGAAAGAGGGACCTTGAGCAAAAATCACTCATGCTCTCTCTATATATTTAACAGGGTTATATACTTATATTGCACTCATCCGTGCATTCCTTGATTCTCTCGTGCGCAGAGCAGAAAAATCAATTTGTGCCTAGAGTTCTTACTTCTTAGTAGCCATGAAGATGGAACATGACCTCCATATGACCAAAGGAGAAGAGGAGACCAGCTACTTCAAAAACTCAAGGCTTCAGGTTCGATACAATCCTTCTAGCATCCACAATTGGTATTGCCTACAACCTTGACTTACCTCCTTCTGTACTCTGAATTTGCTTGGTAGATTCTTTTTTTTCAAACAAAATTGCTTGGTAGATTTACTGCAGTAGTTTATAAAGATTTCCCTTCCATTTATCTTAGGAAAAAGCTTTGGTTGAGACTAAGCCAGTTCTCCAGAAGATTGTGATGGAAATGTGCGTGGATCTCCTCCATCCAACAATGACAATTGTCGACTTAGGCTGCTCTTCAAGTGACAACACACTCTTCTTTGTCTCCAATGTGATCAAAGCAGTCAGCTACCACCTTGAGAAATTCAGTGGCCATCCCACCGAGCTTCAGTTCTTTCTCAACGATTTACCAGGCAATGACTTCAACCGTGTCTTCCAATCACTTCAAAGATTCAGGAGCTCGATTGATATGGATCACAAGGGAGAGCCAATACCTGCTTTCTACATCGCTGGGTTGCCCAGCTCCTACTATACAAGACTTTTGCCTCGCCGGAGTGTTCATCTCTTTCACTCATCATACTGCCTGCATTGGCGATCTCGGGTACTAGCACCAACAACACACAGCTTAGTTGCATAACTTTATTTTTATAATCATCCACATCGGTCAATTTAATAGTGAGAATTTGCTGAATTGACGGGGCTAAGTAGACAGCCCAAAATAATATCAATGTGTATCAGAATATCTGAAAAAAACGCTGCTTGTTATACACAGCTTCCTGATGGATTAGAGGGCAAGAAAAGACCATACCCCAATGAAGGAAACATCGGCATTGGAGCAACTACCCGGCCCTGTGTGGTGAAAATGTATCAAGAGCAGTTTCAGAAGGACATGTTGTTGTTCCTCCAACTGCGCCATGAAGAACTAGTTGCCAATGGACAAATGGTTCTCACATTTCTTGGGAGGAAACACGATGATGTCTATAGCGCAAGTCTCAACCGTTTATATGGGTTACTTTCACAGTCTGTACAATCTCTTGTTGAGGAGGTACGCAAGGATATATCATACTTCTAATAATTATTCCAGGAAACTAAATTTTCATTAATGCATACTAATCACGACAGGGCCTCGTGGAGAAAGAAAAGCTGGACTCCTTTAATTTACCTGTGTATGGACCATCGATGGATGATGTGAAGGCATTGGTTGACCAGAGCTAGCTGTTTGAATTGACTCACATCAAACTGTTCGAGACCAATCGGGATCCTTATGACGACTCGGAGGGCAATGATGTGCACGACAGTGTCCAGAGTGGGATTAACGTCGCAAACTGCTTGAGAGCAGTGATGGAGCCCCTATTTAAAAGCCATTTTGGAGAATCCGTGCTCAATGAGCTCTTCAAGAAGTTTGCATATAACGTCGCATTGCACCTTGTCAAGGAGAAGACCAAGTACTCTGTCATTATTCTATCACTGAAAAGAAGATGAGGTATAGACGATCTGTGGTCTTGCAATTAATGTATTTAACAGCCGCCTCCTAAAATATATGCATGAGTCAGGTTGTGTTATGTTGTTGTTGTATATTAATACTAGGAGAGTTCTTTCCACTACAACTGGGCATAATAATAAGTTCCTCAAATACTAATGTGTATTGATATGTTGATCAAACCACAAATAAAGGTTATTGACGGCACAGACACTTAACCATTGACACAAGGGTCGAGCTAAGGCTCTTCACCTAAGGTTCAGAATTTCAGTGAAATTTCGATGAAATTTCCGAAAATTCGGTGTGCATGGAAATATTTTTGACATAAATATTCAAACTAACTCCAAAGAAAATTAAAGCTTAATCAAAGTTAGTCAAATTAAGTGAACTTCAATAGATCAAAATCCAAATTAATTTTAAATATTGATGAAATTTTGCATATTTCTGCAGGGAACAAATGTTCTGTTTGCGAAATTGAAAACATATGTAATGCTACAAGGAGTCATTGCAGGATGCTTTTACATATTGTGCTTTTTATGTGGGTAACGTGCCCCAAGCATCACCTTGGGTTGCACCTTGCTTGCGTTCAAAGGTGTACTCCATGTTGCTTTTGTTCATGCCCATGTGCTAGACCATAATGTATGCACTACGGAGACGGTGATCCCACACTCGATTTACGACAGTATGGAGATGGTCCCTCCAGTGGGCGGGGGTCATGTGGCAGCTTTACACCAAGATCGAGCATCAACCACCGCCGATGCCATCGAACACTCCACAGATGACCACCAGAATGAGACCGTTTCACCAAACCAAAAAAGGCCAGAAACACGCCCTCCAGCCGGGATGCAAGACATGGATATTGATGTGCCGGCTTAGTCTTTCAGAGATGCTCATAGTGATAGGGTACGTGTGTGTGCGCTCATAGAACTAATTATACATGCGTATGTATGAACGTTCGACATTTGTGTCTGTATTGTGTTCTAAAACCCCCTACTAATTCGCCTTTTCCCTGCCGCTGCTAGAGGCTAGACCGGGCAAAGTTCTAGCACTGATCTATAAAGGTGACATGACTGGGTTATTTTAAATGACAGGACTCCCACGTTCATCGAGAAAAAAAATAGTTGCTCCGTTAATTAGGAAAAAACCGAGGAAAAACTGTATTGGCCGGTTAATTATGAAGAACTGGGAAAAACCATCAGAACCGCTGGGCACACATAAGAAACCCCACGCACCACTCCAAAAAGGGCATCGGCGAGACAACACGAAGGTGTCATCGTCATCGCTTGGCAGGTTATGGCACTCATGGTGAACGGATCCGAGGAGGACGCGACCAAACAGGTGCCGTATGTCGTTCGTAGCGTCCAGAGACAATAATGACCTCACCCATACGCGCTGCACATGCTCGTGCCTCCTCAGACAAATCCAACGCACTTACGACATAGGAATCATGAAGCATGCACGTGGAGGCAACAATTTTGCCTTCACAGTCCCAGGCCACTGCTCCTGCACTACCTTGTCGATCCCGTTGCCTAAACAAATTAAAAGAGGCATCCACATATCCACATTAAGTTTTATCCAGCCAGCCGCGTAGTGAGAATCATGGCTGTCTTTCCTTTGTCCCCGTGCACCCCGAGTCTCAATCCTGGGTGCAGCTTTGATGGAAAGCCATGGACGCCCTGATGGAATGATGGCATCTAGCAAGCAGCATCATCAATAAGTCAGGGCAAGCCACTGCTTTAGGTCATCTTGATGACGGAATTGTTTAAGCCAAAATCAAATTCAACAGCTTCCAATCAACGGCGCGGCGCCAAGAGCCGCCCCGGCTGGCTGAGGACAACCGTACCCCTCGGCACCGGCCACGAAGGCCGACGCGACGCGCTGCTGCGCGTGGGTGCTGTAGCCGGTCAGGATGCACGCGCGCCCCGACTTCTCGTACTCCCGCCGGCTCACCACGCGGGTGCTCAGCTCCCGCAGCTCCTCCACCAGCGCCCTGCACCTCGCGTCGTCGGCCAGCGCCGGCACCAGCGCCTCCCGCCTGCATATAAACAAAAGCAGCTACATTTGGAAGAGTAAAGCAGAGCCGCGTGAAGCCATCGTCCGACGAGTCGAGAAGGCGCCACCGACCATCGCGTCATTGTTCATGGCTGACCATCGCCACCGCTTGCGCAACCTTGCTCTGCAAGGTCTACATTGTCCCTTGGGACTCTCACATCACATCCCTTCCTCCATCCATCTGCCTGTCCTCTATTTGCTACCCGTGGTGTAATTGTCGACCCACTAGAATCGCGTTGCCAAGTTGGATTCTCTTTAGCCTTAGGATAATGCAAAAACCTATAATGGGTGCGACTGGCCAACTGATTGATTGGTCTTGTGGCTTTTGCAAGGAAGCAGCATGCGCCTCCCTTGACTAGTGTGGCTACAACCCTAGCATGAGTAACTCCACTTTGATTTTGTATGATGATCCCAGGGTACCGCGTAAAATGGTATGAGGATCTTCTCAAACACTGTTGGCACTTCACTAATTGAATTCTGATTCCTCTATAAAACAAGTGGATTTTTCATAGTTTATATATATTGATAGGTGAACAAAGGAGTGTTACAATCCTCGACCTTTTTAATCTCATGTCCGCATTCCCCTGCATCCTCAGTTCCTCACCTAAATCCTAGTTTCCCCCCTTCCCTTCCTCCATCAATTGATCCTATGTTTGGTACCCTGTCATGCAACTTTCCTTATGGGGAAAGAGACTCGAGTCGTGTTGCTTGTTCACACAAGAAGGGTTGTCATACTTAGAGCATCTCCACTCGCGCCCTCAACATGCCCCCCAGGGCTCTTTTTTTAGCGCCGGCGCCGAAAAATCGACCCAGTCGCACCCCAGGACCTTGTTTATCGCCGGTTTGGGCCGAAATAGCAGACGGGGAACCCAAGCTTAACCCAAGCCCCCGGGGGCCGCTTGGGGGCGCCGGCCAAAACGAAAAGCCGCGTGAGTCCGCTCTATCGGCGAGAGGCAGCCCTTTTTCCCGCCGATCCCCCGCTTTTCCCCCTCCATTCCCCCTTCTTCCCCTCTTCTTCCGCCATTCTCCTCCCTCTCCCCGCCATCCGGTCGCTTGCCACCAAAGAAGTATAAGGCCCCTTGCGCCGCTGCCGTTGCCGATTCCACCCAGCCGAAGCAGAGGAAGCCGAGGGCACTGTCGGCAAAACCACCAGGCATGTCGAACACCGACTGGAAGGCGGAGGTTCAGCGCCGGGAGGCTGTCACCACCAACCGGCAGACCAGGCTCAACACCAAGAGGGCCCGGGATGCGACAGCGTCTGCGGCAGCTGCGGCGGAGCAGGTAGAGGCGTCTCGAGCGGGGATGATGAATCCACCCGGCGGCCACGGCCCGCAAGCTGCCTAGAGCTCGCAAAGCGTCAGGTCGCCAGTCAGCTTCTCGCCGTCTCCACATCCCTGGGGGTTTACACCCTAGCCTAGCTACGCCAACGGCGACGCGCACGGCGGATTCCGCATGGCCAGCGCGCATCGCCCTCCAGTCTGAACCCCGACCAGCGCACGTCCTCGCCTGCATTCACTGGCGTCCAGTTCCCCTCGTACACCTACTCGCCGCCGGCTTACGCCGCCTCCCTGACACCGCCTCTGCGTCGTGGTGCCCTACACTTCTGGCAAGTCTCATTGTCGCATTTCGGCAACCCCGACGCGACGGAAGCCGACATCGACGAGATCATCACGAGCAGCTCGGCCACCGCCGCCTCCCCCAAGTTACAGGCGCAAAACGATACAATGGACCTCGCGCGGTGACATGGACGACGAGCTCAACTACGGCGAGGAGGAGGGGGATGAGGAAGAGGAGGAAAAGGAGCCGGCGCCTGATCCAGCAAGGAAAGGGAAAAAGAAGAAGCAGGGGGCAAGGACCAGTGAGCCACACATGAAGTGGACGTCCAAAGAAGACGAGTGCCTTGCCAAAGCATGGAAGGCCATCTGCCTCGACCCGATCACCGGCACAAACCAAAACGTTGACACGTACTGTAAGCGAATCAAGTCGGAGTTCGATGAGTGCAAGTTGGTCGACCCCTACTTCGCCACCATCCACATGCAGTGCGGCTCGAAGGCCATGGCAAACCATTAGGCGCTCATCCAAACGGCCTGCAACAAATGTCACGGGATCATCGAGGAGGTCGCAGCTTGTCCGGAAAGCGGCACCAACGTCGAGGGTCAGGTATGCACAGATGCCAGCTCTCGCTCCTTTTCGCCATGTGCGTCGCCGACACTTGTTCTTCGGCGCAGATAGTTCGGATGTTCGCCATGTACCGCCAGGACAGCAACACCGACCAAGAGTTCAAGTACCTCCACGTGTTGTCCCGGATCGAGAAGTGCGAGAAGTGGGCGGATGTCCGGCACACCCTCGCCAAGGCCATGGAGATGTACAAGCCGGAAGCGCCCACGCCGAGGGCAGCAGAGGGGCGCCCTGACGGCAACAAACAAGCCAAGACTGCCAAGGACGCCGCACCGGCTACCGAGTGGCTGCACGCGTTCATCGAGCAGTGCATTGCTGACGCCAAGAACCACGCCGCCCAGAGGGAAGAGAAATCCGAGGCGCGGTGGTCGGCGTTGATGACGAACATCGCCTTCAAGCTCGACCTACTCCAGACCAACGTCGCCGCGAGGGCGAGGTACACCGACCTGGCATTCCTGATGGGGTCGGACATGTCGACGATGGACGAGCAGGTCAAGGCATGGTA